CTGTCTAAAGCATGAAATGTCTTCGCCCGCTCGAACACTGGGATCGTGGGTTCGAATCCCGCTCAAGTCATGGCTGTCTATCTGCGTTTATTCTGTGTTCGTGTTGTCCTGTGTCGGTAACGGCCTTGCGACGGACTGATCCCCCACTCCAAGCAGGCCTACCAACTGTCTAATATTAAGAAAGTGAATTAAAAAAGAAGAGTTTCATGGATGCCCTATGATTCAAATGATAACAGCAGGAACAAATACTTGCCATAGGATTCTGACGATGGTGTATAACACACTGATATATTGGGTTTTTGGACTTTATCCATCGTCCTGGTTTTTAAGATAACTAATAAAAACACGACGTTTCGGAAACTGAATCTGTTTCAGTTCTGATCCAGTTTCCGAATCGTCGTGTTTTTATTAGTTATCTTAAAAACCAGGACGATGGATAAAGTCCAAAAACCCAATATATCAGTGTGTCAGAATCGTCAGAATCCTATGGTAAGTATTTGTTCCTGCTGTTATCATTTGAATCATAGGGCATCCATGAAACTCTTCTTTTTAATTCACTTTCTTAATATTAGACAGTTGGTAGGCCTGCTTGGAGTGGGGGATCAGTCCGTCGCAAGGCCGTTATCCACACAGGACAACACGAACACAGAATAAACGCAGATAGACAGCCATGACTTGAGCGGGATTCGAACCCACGATCCCAGTGTTCGAGCGGGCGAAGACATTTCATGCTTTAGACAGTGCGGCCACTGTGATCGGCTCATTAACCAGTTATAAACGGCCGCGCCATAGCTTAAGCGGTTAGTCGTTGGCTTCCCACCGCGGCGATCCGGGTTCGATCCCGATCTGGTCAAGTGGGATTTGTGGTGGACAAAGTGGCGCTGGGGCGCGTTTTCTCCGGGTGCTTCGGTTTCCCCTGCCAATCTTCATTCCACCAAATTCTCCATCATCATAATCACCTGGGGCAGGCTACAATAGGCCAATCAGTGGCCTCCGTGCCAAGTGGACCCAGTTGAATTCCACGCCCCTACTAAGCGAATTAAAAAAAATGTTAATAAATAGGAAATTCTTCTCTTAACATTTTCTGAAAGTGTTTGCTTAATTTCAAACTCAAACTTGTGAATCGTTTTCAAATGCAAAGATCCCACAAGATGGGTAAGAATACAGATTTTCGTCTACACATTAGCACTTTAATAGCAATAAGAGATCTTAATTTAAAATTGTCTGAAATGGGAAGACTTAGTTTCGCACCAAAACGTGTGAATAATATTCGAAAGCAACGAATCCTACGACCACCTGCCATGATACATTTCTGCTGGTCTTATGTGGACACTACAGAAGAACGGCTGAAGCCTCGTTTCTGCCCATTATCATCCTAAATGTCAGCGTCGCCATTCCTCTGTTCCTGTTTACACTCATTTCCTAACAGCGAACTCTTTTACTTAGTCCCTACTTAGTAAATGCACATAATTGGCATGTAAAATAAAAATAAATATACCTACTATCCTAATAAAGTTTCTCACTGAGGAAATCTCTAGAAAGGGGTCCTGTGTTCCATTATATATTTTCAAATCACGATTATGTTCATAGGATCAACTTTGTCAGAATCCCTCTGTTAGGATGTTATTAGATGTATGTATTGTAAAATCATAAGAAGAAATGCATAACTCTCTCCCTACATTTTATATTATATGTTTTATGTTCACCCTGAACGAAATAAAATATTTCAGAACTGCTCAAACCTACGCAACGGCTGATAATAATTATGAGTATTAGAATCGTCTTTGCAAAAGACACCCATTTCCTTGCGCCACTCTACATCTGTTGTGACTCTTCCAAGAGCTACTCAGTTATTTAATTACTCTGTCACTAAATAATTTATGTCTTCCAATAAACATCTTGGTGACGTGTGGGATAATAGAGAGTAGAATTGCCTCACACACAAAACCTTCTAAATATTAAATTATCCCCTCGGTACCGTACGATAGGTTATCTTTCCTACATTCATCTCCAGAGCGGAATTGCCAGATGAAACATAAACTTATGCTAACAAGAATCTCCAACAGGAACCTCTCGCAACAGAACAAAACAAATATGGAAACTGATGTATTTAAATTGTAAGTTTCAGCACATTCCATTGCTACGCCAATCCAACAAAATAAACCAGACTGCGTTATTATTGTTTGCCGATCACAGTGGGAGCGTTGTCTAAGGAATGAACTGTCTTCGCCATTTCGAATACTTGATCGTGAGTTCGAATCCCACTTGAAGCATGGATGTCTTTGTGCGTTTATTCTGTCTTTGTGTTGTTCTGTGTACAGGTAGCGGCTTTGCGACGTGCTGATCCCTCATCCAAGGAGTCCTACCGACTTTGTATAGGATCAAGAAATTGAAAATGCGGCCAATGCCCAACAAATGGTTGTAGGGCCATAGATATATAGAAATGTTATGTTATTGTTTACGCCCCGCATGAAATTATTAGAGGTCTAAGGCGATATTTGCGCTTAGTTATCCATATTAGTGTGCACATAAAATGTTGTAGTTCCTTTAGAAATGCCACTTTATGAATTAGTACAATGCAGTGTGTTTCGAAAGAGGGGCTATAGAGCATAATTTTAACCCAAGGAAAGCTTTACTGAAATCCACTGCTTGTTTAAATCTTCACACCATTGGTTAATCATTAATTATGGTGCGAATTCATTCCGTACTCGAGGACTACAGCCTTATTTTATAGAGGTTTGGGCGCCCGAATAACTCGGAGAATTATGCTGGTGGGTACGTAAGCTCCTGGTAGAGCTACCCATGCCTAACAGTTCAAAGTCAGAGGCCAGATGAAATGTAGTCCCTGGTACTCCAAGTTCGTTTTGGGTGTGGGTTAACGAAGCATTTTCTTACAAATCCATGGTGGAGGACCAGACCCCAAACAGAGTTTTGTAGCGCCAGTAAACCTGAAACGGATCATTTTACGAACATGTGCAATGGAAAAGAAAATACAGTCAGAATAACGGATGTGTACAGCGTTGGGAAATTATAGAAAAAAGTGACAGACGTTCTCTGACTTAATAATTGAACTTGACAATATAAAGTACTCTGGTTCAAGTCATGTCTTAGAAAGTAGAGACATCGAAAAAAAAATCTTTCTCAACGCAACAAGTAACCTATTGGCAACAATTGTGTCTCTCCACAAATATACTTTTAAAGTGAACCATTGGAAAGCAATGTTGACATAATGGTGTGGATACTGTAGCGAAATCTGTGAAGAAAGAGTCTGAACAAGCATTCCAGCAGTCCTAGAGCTGGAACGTACTCTGATTCCACGAACTCACCTCAACAGGATGTGAATACGAATCCCTGTATTGTGACTGGACACAGGTTCATCCAGCAGCTCCTGCAAAAGACATGTGAAAATTGACAGGTGAGTGACAGCAAATTGAAAGAGCCGGTGCATACGTGTTATTTCTCCCCTGAAAGCGTTTAGGATCACTGAACCAAATGAATGAAAATGAGAGTTTATGCAATTTTGACAACTTCTATTAGATGAATATGAGTATGAGGGATGGGCCGTAAAACTGGCCCTAGCACTGCAACCTTCAATGATCTATTGTGCTTCCCCTTTTGATTAACCATTTATCAATCCTACACTTCGAATGAAATGTAGGACTTTGTTTGCGGGGGCGTCATAAAAGTCACTTGGTTTGATTCTTCTATTAGGTAGCTTGAATTTGAATATGATTTCAATATGCTGTTGAAAAAGACAAACGAATATTAAATTATACCTGTAAGAGCCCACGGAGACTCATAGGGTCGTGAGGCGTCTAGGCTGTCACACTTTTTAGAATATGGGTTCGCAGATGGCGTTAAGATTGCCAGCATTAGTTGCCGGCCACCCTTTACCCCCAGGAAGATTCCTGGTACTCATTTCTATTAGAGGATGAGTTGACCCTAGGGCCATAGTGCGGCTGGAAGGATCAGGTCAATAAAAAACACAATAACATAAAGCCTTCCGGCTTTAAGAAATATTTTTAAACTCATTATATTTGTCCCCGTCATATCAATATTTTCAATTCATCGTTGATTTTAACCGTTTGTTGTCCAGTTTACCAGACGAACAAGAACTTGCATATCTCTTCTTTAAAATTAGAAGCTTAGTTAATAAAATATAGTACAGCTGAAAAATATTGTGGCGTATAGACCTGTCGATAAGAGGTGACTCTGTAAACAAAGCCCGTTACTAGATAACATCCAAAAACATACACACGCACACAATAAAATCTGTGTTTTCTGTGTGATCTTTGTCGAGATATTATTACCGGGAGGTTTTGAGCTTAGTGAGTATAGTGTGTTCTGCACGCGATATTCTGAAGAGAGGACCTGAACGAAGAAAGCTGAAGAAACTCCACGGTTAATGGTCGTTGCCAGGAAACGGCTGGTGAAGATACGGTAGGCTAAAAAGTGCTTAGCTGAGTTGAATAGTGAATGGTGGAGATTAGCGGTGGCTCTCTAATTGTTTGTAGTTCGAGTCGTGTGTATAAGCGGTCAGTAAATCCATCCTCCAATCCAAACCTCTTCTATAGTCACATTCACACACGTGACCATATCAGTACAAGTTACGTAATAAAAATTAATACTGTGGCGTATTTGCTCAAAGCAAGAAATGTGAGGGCAGAGAAACAGCCGTTGTTAGGTAATGGTCCCTAAACAAGAAGCAAAATGACGCGTCATTTAATCTGTGACGTCATGCAACAACAGAAGAAATGTATCAAACGTCCTTCTCTGTGTGTCCGCGCCGCGCTTCTGTTACGCAACGGTGCGTTAAACACATTCATGCAACGGTATATGAACACACAACAATAGAGGAAGCGGTGCTTTCTCTGAGTCCGCCTCGAAGCTATATAAATTGGATCTCTAGCGGCTAGAATGACAATTACTTTGAATTCCGGAGTTGACAGTTGCAGCATAGAACTGAGTCGAGTTCCGGAGTTGGTGGTTGGCAGAATAATTGAGAAGAAATTGTAAGAAAGGAATTAGGCTCTCCAAAAGAAAACCTAATGTGTGAAAGTGGTATACTATGCTCCACAAAATGTGACCATAGAGTGGAACGCGAAATCATAAATATTTACCATAATTATATGTGCTGCTACAGTTGAAGAGAAACGGATAAAACTGGAAACAATTTTAATATATCGCCTTGCATACCTGTCATTCCGTTTGCAACTTTAAGGATGGTGAGACGTAGGACAGTCGAAAGCAAAGAAGAGAGACCGAGACCATCTTGGAAGTAGGATACGTAGCAACAGGCACTGTGGACCTAACACACTGAGATTAACAATGTTTATGATGATGATGATGATCTTACAAATATGTCTCACAATACAACAATTATAGGTCCTATAACGACCGATATTAAAATTTATCCTACCTCAAGTTTTCGTACGTTCTTCATATATGCATGTGGGAGCCGCACAAAGCGGGTCAAGCGCTAGCCAATCACAGTATAGAAACGATCTACTGCTACCCAATGGCCCGGTGAACACGTTTTCTTGGAGATACGTTTCTTGAATAAACAATCCATAACTAGGTAAAACCTACAACACAATTGTTGCTGTTATGTAAAGACTGAAAATCGCGTCTGCAGGCAAGTAGTTCAGCAGAGCGCAGTAACCGGACAGGAGAAACAGGTATTCACTACAAGTTCGGAGCGAGACTACTAAAAGTGGGCTAATATAGAGAGAACCAAACTTCTTCCGTCTGGATCCGGGTTCGAATACCTCCACCGTAGCCCTGCGAGTCGTAGGAGGCGAAAATGAAAATCTCGAATCTGAGACAGTAAAATATGGCAACGAGTCCCATGCGAAAGGGTCCCGAGAAAGACTGCGCTTGCGAGGACCAGCAGCAATCATAATTGACAAATTCGCCCTTTCATCAAAGAGAGCGTCCTACATGAGCAAACCGCGCAACTGTCTCACAGTGATAAAAATTTGATCTAAGCCCCAGATGGATGCTTCATTACAACACAGTCTGGCCGATTGACTGTCGATCGTAACATAAGACTCAGACTCAGAGAAAGAACCTACGAGAGATCTTCTTCACCCAACTTATCAGGAACCAGCGATCTTCAGTTCTTCTAAAAGAAGTTCGTCTTTGTATCCTGTATAACTGCAATAAATATTTATATAAAGATTTAATAAATTCTCGTCTCTTCTCTTCATACAATGATATCCCACATGCATTTTAATGGCGGATTTCAAAAGAACGGAAATACGAGATCCCCAGGGCTTGCTGTTCATACAGAGTGATAAAGAAGTCGACACCTTCTTAACTCTAGGTTTAAACACACTGGACGACCATACGTACATGCAGCCAGCAAATGTATTTATGAAGGAGCAACTGTGAGCCTGTCTGATCCGTAATAAATTGTGTCTACAAGTGTGTTTCTTGTATTGACGTTTACATTTGAAGAACTGGATACCCAAGATACAGACCGCAATATTTTGCAATGTTCGAGGTCTTATCGTTACCTTCATTCGTAAACATCTCATATTCACATTCTGTGCAATAGGGAAGACAAGAATACAATATTTGAAACACGAATGATTGATCACGGAAGAAAGAACAAAAAGGAAAGTTTGTTTTACAATTTATTATTATCATTTCGCTCATTGTAAACATGGATATATATTAAGTATAAGGCTCATGTCTGAAGAAATTAAATGTATTTATGTTGGTATAGCGATGTACTACATTCAGTTATTAAGTACGGAGGAGGTGGGTTTCCCCATGCACCGCGACTAATAGTCTCTTGTAAGTCCCCCTTTAATTTCTACTGTCGCCATACCCTACCGATACTGGTGCCCGCTATCTCCCCTTTCTGCCAGCGAGGTCGGTCCTCTACTGGTGTGGTACCCGATAATTCTCCCCTTTCTGCCAGCGTGGTCGGCCTTCTACTGGCATTGGTACCCGATAACTTCCCCATCTACCGGAGGCACTGGAAACTACTTGGGCGGGAAACATTTTACCTAATTTTGCTCAGAAGTCTCCTAGAGACATGAGGATCTACGACACGGGACCCACGGCTTAAAGTCCCTCCCGGAGGACTAGTTCCCTGAATTTTTCCGCCCTTAAGAATTGCACGACCTCCGCCGGGTTTGAACCCGCGTACCTTGAGTCATGAGGTGGGAACGTTACCCCTAGACTACAGAGGCCGCTGATGTACTAAATCCTGGACGGCCTGTGTTCAATTCCCAAGAGGACAAGATTTTATCTCCTCTTCCTTAGGGACAAAGCTGCTTTGGAATAAAGCTAGCCACTCACCTCCAATTTGTCCTGAGATCAAGAAATGCGGAGCTATACCTCAGCTCCCACCCATATTCCTTTAAGACCTAATTAAGGACATTGAAAATTTTATTTTATCTTACCTAAATGTAATAAAAATAGAGACAGAAGCATTACAAACTAAGGCGATGATATAGAGCCAACAGTTCTTCAAGTTATTCCGGTCCCGAGGAGTTCTCGGGCTTCACGTCTGTGAGTTTCACAATGAAATATCTCCAAGATGGTGAATATTTCGCAATTATTCTGTCGAGGCATTCGAGTTCTTATTTTTATATATAATTCAAACCTGCTTTCAATAAACATTCGATTATGTGGCGAGTAAGGTAGATTCACTGTGAAAGGAGCTGTTTCTGAGAATCAAGCTGCCTGCTGTTATGGAAAACGTGTGACTATGGATACCAATTTGCAGCCCTGTCACAGATATCAAACGCAAGCTATCATTCTGTTTCGTGAAAATACAATGTGTTCGCTTTCCCTTTGTAACCCCGTTAACGCCGAGATAACTAATACAAAGTTTTCGTTAACGTTGCAGAAGATACGTATCAGGATAATTTCATCGCGTACCTTGCAGGCTGATGCAACGCAATATATCAACTTATTCATCTGCGTTGCACTTCAAAACTTGGAGTGTGTATGGCCACTACTCAGCGTCGAGACCGGCTTTGGGACCCACCCAACCTCCTAACCAATGTATAAGGAAGGTTAGTTCCCCGGGGATAATGCGCCCTGCATATGAAGCTGACCATTCACATCCAACTAATACCGGGGTCAAGAATGATGGATCTACACCTCCACTCTCCCAGATATCTTTATGATATAGTGCTTAATTCATTAATCACAGGGACAAATTTGCCTTAATTTTGCGTTTAAAACTATTGAGCATGATATTTATACTCGTGATTATACATTGTCACGATTTAGGTGTGACCATAGACGGGGTATGGATTGGTTAACGTATTTGTTGAACACTTGTACACATCACTCGGATCTACAAGTAATTTCAACGCTATCGGTAATCTCCACACTTTACGAATCACCACAGCAACAGCTACGCCT